TAATAATAATAATAATAATAATAATAATAATAATAATAATAATAATAGTAATAGTAATAGTAATAATGATGATGATGTACTCGGCACACTGAGTGCTGTGCCTAAAGACCTAGGCAAGCACTTAGAAAGAATTGGCGCTGACAAAATCACCATTGGTTAGCCGCAGAAGGCCACCTTACTGGGAACTGCTTGCTCGCATAAGCATAATCCGCCTGATACATCACAGGCAGTCCTAAACGCTTGGGAAGTGTTCGACTAGTGATTTGTGATACAAAACCCAGCATAATTATCTCATTTGCTGTGTACACTGTTGTTTTTGTGTACAATAATAATAATAGCTTCTTCTTCGGCCCTTGTAGACGTTTTGTAAACCTCTGGATTTTTGTGCTCATAATGTCTGATTGGATAATAAAGGGAGAGCTGTCCTTCCTCCCCATTCTCCCAGCTTCTCCTCTCAAAATAAGGGGTTTCCTGTGAAATATTGCATACGGCCTCGGTTGAGTTTCTTCTCTTTCATCCTTCGATTCTGGAACCAAATTTTGACTTGTCGGTCTGTGAGGTTCAACATTCTGGACAGCTGGAGTCTTTTCTCTTTGTTGATGTACACGTTGAAGAAAAATTCCCGTTCCAGGACTCTAATCTGGTACTTGGTGTAAGGGCATCTCTTTTTCCGTGATCTCTGGGGGAGTGCTGGAAATGGTCAGAAAAAAAGGACAGAGGAGCAATGGCAGTGACAGCAGTGGCCTCATTCCAAGGTCTTCTTCAGGGACAGTTAGAGCGACTGTTATTCCCTGGAAAACTGACTCCTTTCTCTCCCCACCACCACGGTCAGCCTTCCTTCCTCCCTTGGGCTTAGTGGCTTGGAAAGGAAAGAAGGGAAACCAAGGGAAGAAGAAAGATGGCCCTAAGTTCCCGCCCTCATTATGTTGCTTTCTAAGGCTCAGGTCCCACTGAACTCAGTGGGAATTGGTCCCAGGTGAGGAGATTTGGGCTCCTGCTTCTCTGAATGGAAAGCGATTTAAAGGGGGTGAAACAAAGGCCGTTTCTTAACTCTTCAGAAGCACCCTTTCGCCCTATCGGACAGGTCCCCCTTCCCCTTTGAACAGCGAGCAACTTCCTTTGTTGGGTTGAAGTGCTTTTAAGGGACCAGAAATATCTTCTCCTCCCTCCAAAAAGAGGGGGGGGGGGGGAAAGATTCGAAGCCCAAAACAGGTTTTATGACCGGAGAAGATATAAAGAATGCTACTTAAAGCCAACTTTAACATGGCTTATAAAATGGCACCTGGAAAAGTTGAGACTTGAGGAACTGATGGATTGTTGTCTGCCTCTTCTCTCTCTTTCTCTCTCTCTCTCTCTCTCTCTGTCTCTCTCTCTCCATCCACCTTTCTCGATCTGGGATTCCTCCTATTGAGCAAGGAGGAAGCCGAGCCACCCTCCACCTTACCTGAACCCTGGCTTTTGGGAGTGGGGGCCTCCCCCGAGGAGGAACCCGCCTTGCCCTCGTCCCCCGCTTTCTTCTTCGGCCCGGGAAGGTGGGAGCTCGGCTCGGCAGCGTTCCTCCTCGACTGTGGCGGCGGCTGGAGGTCCTGGTTGCTCTCCTTTTCTGCCTCGGTCGGGCAAGGGGCGCAGCCGCGGGCCGCCTCGTAAAACTGGTCGAAGCCCTGCGGGAGAACGCCGTTCCTGCCGACGGCGCTGTGGAAAGGTGCGGTGTGGGTGCCGCCAACCGGGTCGCTTTTGAGGAAGGCGTCGCTGCTCCTGTTGGCAGGCGGTTGGAGGAAATCCCGGCTGTGGAAGACCTCCTCGTAGTAAGCCGGGCTGTAAGCGCTCCGGTAAGCCCACTTGTTGCTTCCCCCACCTCCTCCAGCGTAATCCCGGAAGGCGACGGGCGCCTCGCCCCCCGGGGCCACCTGGCCGGGCAAGGCGGAGGCGTAAGGCAAAGCCATTTGGCAGGCGGGAGGCGGCTGGGACAGAAACGGGCTCTTGGCGGAGAAATCGGAGGGGGAGATGTAGTAGGCCGGGGCCAGGTACACGCCGAGGCTGCCGCA